TCACAAGTCCTTCTAAGGTCTCCCACTCCCGAGGAAGAGGCTAGGAGCCACTCAGGGAGGCCTTTTCATTGTCTCAGTTTCCTAAGTGAAGACACCCCACACACACACACACACACAGTCTTATAAGGGTTTGGCACTTTGCTATAGCTGCAGCCGTTAGGTCCCCCCAGCCATGAGGTCCCAGCCCTCCTCCAAAGCTCACCTGGAGGGTGTCGAGAACTCCTGCTGGAAAATGTCCTCCAGCTTCTCTACAACTTCATCAGTGCTGAGGGGGATGAGACTGCCGTAAGTCTGAAGGAATTCATCTAAGATGCCTACAGGGAGGAAGGGGGCACTTCAGACTCTCATCTAGGAGCTGGCCAAAAGGAGACTAAGCTCTCCAAAGGCTTACTCTGCACGCAGGTCACGTGTTCCTCCCGGAGGGGGCTGTGCTGGCCAGCCTTCTCCCCAGGTCGATCTGCCTCGTCTGCAGTGCCCAAGTCAGAGCCCTGAAAAAGTTCCTGAGCCACATGGTCTCCAATGCTGCACACATTGCTGATGAGTATGCTGGCATCAGGAGGTGGCAGGCTGCGCTCCCCTTCAGGACCAGATAGTCCCCCAAAGCCATTGGGTAGAGTACATGAGAGAAGACCTAAAGGGCAAAGAAATAGGACAGGCATCAGAAACTGGCCAAGTCAAAGAGCTGATGCATACAAACGACAAGACCACCCAGACCGAGAGAGAAGCCAGCAAGATAACCTCATGGAACAACGCAGACCTTCAAAGCCTGATGTAAGGGCATCCAAAGACTCTGTTTAAAAAAGGGTATGGTGGAGCACGCCTTTAATCCCTACACTTGGGAGGCAGAACTCTGTGAGTTCAAGGCCAGCCTGTTCTATAATGGGAATCTAAGACAGCCATGGCCACACAGAGAAACTCTGTCTCAAACAAACAAAAAATAGTAGCTATTCACAAGCAAGAGGAAAGGCAGACTCTGAGAGCTGCTTAACAACTAACAGTGCATAAGCCAGGCTCAGGAATATATGAGGATGCTCAATTATTGGGCTGGACTTCTCCAAAGAAAAAAATATTCTAAATAAAAATGTTAAAATCTGGGACTGTAGAGATGCCTCAGCAGGTAAGAGCACTGGCTGTTCTTCTAGAGGACCCGGGTTCAAGTCCCAGCACCCAACAGCAGCTCATAACTTGTCTCTAATTCCAGTTTCAGGGAATCCGAGACCCTCACAGACATCAACAATGTACATATAATAAAAAATAAATAATTTTTTTTAAATGTTAAAAATGTACAGATAATATATTCTACTGGTTGGGGCTGGAGAGATGGCTCAGAGGTTAAGAGCACTGTCTTATCTTCCAAAGGACCCGAGTTCAATTCCCAGCACCCACATGGTGGCTCACAACCATCTTGTCTCCTCTTCTGGTGTGCAGGCATACAGACTGAATACTGTATACATAATAAAAAGATCTTAAAAATACACACACACACACACACACACACACTCTATTGGTAAAGGTCCCATTCCTCGAGAGCATGGAGTGCTGCTCTGTGCAGACATGTGTCTCTAGACCAATCCCGAGAGGACGGAGGCTTGGGAATGGACTGCACTGACCTTCCTAACCACAGCTCCCTTTGTCATCTGAAGATCTCAGCACAGGTACTTAAGGGCTTCTTTCCTACGGCTGTGTCAGGCAGCATTCCTGCTCAGAACCCCTACTCCTACTCCCACAGGATAAGAGCTTTTTTTGCAGCCCAGGGAAGCCTTGATCACTGTTTTCGCCTCCCAACTGACAGGATTACCAGTGTAAGCCAGCACCGGACTTTCAAATTAAGGCTTAATGAGATCATTTCAAACTATTCTGAATGCCTCACTCTGCTTTCCGCAGGCTCAGCTCTCACCAGAGTAACAAACTCCTGGTGCTCCAGACTCTTCACCCTTCCCACTCCATTTCCCACCTTACCCGAATCAGGGTCCAGAGGAGACTTTGGGGTCCACCTTAGTCCATCTTCCTCCATGGGGGCCCCAGAGGGCACTGGTGGAGACCCTCTCATCCCATCCTCAGCCATGAGAGCACCTAGCAGACCCAGCCGGGGTGGGGGCAGCCCCCTGGGGGAGTCAAAACGACAGCAGGGTGATGGCACCTGTGGCGTTGCACCCCCTTCCTGGGGTGAGAGATGGTTCTTGGGGTGCGCGAGGTTCCGCCGCCGGCCTCGGTGGCGCCCCCAAAGCTTCCAGTGGAATGTCAACGAGGTGCTTTTTGAGTAGAGCAGCATCTGGAAGGCTCTCAAGGCTCTGCGCCGGCGCTGTGAGCAGGTTTTTCTATGAGAGGGTCGGAGAGGGCGAGGACGCTGGGAGGCCCCCAGTTGGCCCCATCTAGGGGGTAGCCTCCAAACTGCTACTTCTTCCTCCTCCTCTTCCTCCTCCTCCTCTTCCTCTTCTTCACTAGCGGAGGCATCAAAAGAGGGCCGAGGGGCAGGGAGGCGTCTAGTTGGCACTGTGGTCCCTGACCCAGGATCTGGCCCAAACCCGCCACCTGACTTAAGCCGGGGTTTGGGGGGAAGGGGCCAACGAAGAGGCTCTCGTCTGGGGTTGGAGTAAGTGGTGCCGGGTCCTGGAGGCTCAGGCCCCCAAGACCCGGTCCCTTGTATAATCTCTTTCATCTTCCAGGACCCTGTAAAACAAAAGCTTGAGTATTAGAATCAGAACATCCTACTCCTTCCTCCAAGATCTAACTGTTCCTTAGCATTTTCCCTCCGATTTCAGATACAAATAAAGAAAAGTCCATACACAAGGAACCCTTCGGAGTTTGTCATTCCATCCCTTGCCCGGGTCTAGAAGCAGAAGAAAATGACTAAGAGGAAAGCCTAGGGATTTTATGTCTCAGACCTTGGGTGAAACCCCGTATTTCTAAGCTCCCCTTTAATGCCACTATGGTGTCCTTAGGATAAGTCTGACGGTTAATTTGCTCAAGGAGATGGCTCAGTCAGGATTCCCGATATGAGTACCTGGGAAGACAACTTTCGCCAGGAAAACTTTGTTTCCGAGTAGGAAGTTCCCTTTCACCTTGGAATGATACCGGGGGAGGGGGGAACACACACGCCTCAGGTGTGGGGGAAGGGTGGTGCCAGGGTTATGGCTCAGGAAATGATGAGGAAGGTGTTGAAGAAAACTGGAAACAGACCGAACCGGTGCTTAGCGACTGAATCAAGGCACAGGACGGGGCGGTGGGGGTCAGACACACTGGCCCCTCTCCAGCGTTATGAAGGACCCGAATGCTTCCCAGCCCGGGCACAGTTCCGAAAGCTCGGGCGACTCGGCACACACCGGTCATTAAGTCCTTTAAAGGGCCTCTTGGGCCCAATTAGGTGCGAGCGAAGACCAGAAATGGAGGAGGCCACAGAAGGGCGGGTGTGGGGGGGAGGGGAAGGGGCGTCCTCACCCGGAGCGGGGAAGCCCGGCGCACGGGCCCCAAGGCGGGTGACTGCGCCTCAGGCTTTCCGGCTCATCTTTCGGACGGCGGAGACCCCGCCACTCCCGCTGTCTTCAGGCGGAGCCGCCTCGATTCACGACGCCAACGTGCTGGGCCGCGCGCCGTGCCGCCCCGCCGCGGCCGCTCAGCCTCCACCTCCGCCGCCGCCAACCTCCCCTCCTCCTCCTGCTTCCCCTCCCACGAGCCCCAGGCCCACCGCCGCTGGCGGCGCACAGTTACGACGTCACACCCGGCGAGCGGCGCCGGCGCGGCCGCCTCGCGCCCGGCCCCGCCCACCCCAGCGCGCCCGGGCCTCCGGACGGCCCCG